CCAAGCATTTGTATAACCTGCTTTTGAATATTTCCACAATGGAGGAGATTCTAGATATTCCGTGCATTTTAATTCTTGACGATCCTCATAATCAGAATGCTCCTTCTAATTTCCAACTTAAATTTCTTCTGCTGCAGCTTGAGGCCATCACTCATAGTCCTGTCTCCTGTGGCCACAGAGAAAAGCCCACCTGCATCCTATCTATAATCACTCTTCAGGCATTTGAAGATTGCTATCAAATCCACCCTCAGGCTTCTCTTCCACAGACTAATAACCCTATGTCTTTCAAGCCATTCCTCATAAGTGTTGCACTCTAGGCCCATAATCATTTTTGTCACTCTACACTGGGTACTTTCCAACCTGCCCGCATTCTTCTTAAAGCGTGGGGCCCAAATCTGGACACAGTACTGCAAGCGAGGCTTCACCAGTGCCAAATAGTATGGAAGAATCATTTCCTTTCATTTCCGAGTGACACTCCAGGTGATATAACTGACTAACTGTTGGCTTTTGCCTTTTCTTTTTTTCTTTTCTCTTTCTCTCCAAATAAGAGCATGCTGTTGGCTTATATTTAGCTTATGGTCCACTGTAACACCCAGTTCCTTCTCTGCAATATGGCAGAATAGCAAGTCATTCCTTAGTCTGTATTTGAGACAATTATTCTGTTCCAAGTGTAGAACTTTGTATTTGTCCTTGTAGAATTTTATTTTGATTTATTTCCAATCATTTCTTCAATTTATCCCAGGCACTCTGAATCCCTTCAGAGTGTCTGCAAGTCAGCCCGACTTGATGTGATCTGCATTTTGCGAAGTTTGCTCTCCATCTCAGAAGAAAGGCAGCAACAAGGCACACCAGCCCTCCTGGCTCTCCAGGGATCTAGCAGACCTCCTGAGGGTAAAAAGAAAGGCCTACAAAGGATGGAGGATGGGATTCACCTCCAAGGAGAATTATTCTACACTGGTCCAGTCCTGCAGGGAGCAAACCAGGAAAGCCAAGGCTGCAACAGAACTCCAACTAGCTTTGAGCATCAAGGACAATAAAAAGTCCTTTTTCAGATACCACTCATGAGCAGAGTAGTAATGCACTAGAACAGGCTACCCAGAGAGGTGGTGGAATCTCCATCCTTGGAGGTTTTTAAGACCTGGCTAGACAAAGCCTTGGGTGGGATGATCTAGTTGGGGATGATCCTGCTTTCAGCAGGGGTTTGGGCTAGATGATCTCCTGAGGTCCCTTCCAACCCTCGTTTTATCTGATTCTACAATGAATGCCACACCTAATTTGACTTGCCTTCAATCAAATCACTATAGTTTGATGAGAATTATCTGGATTCTAGTTTTTTCTATGAATTGCTTTCGAAATAATCATCATCATTCCCCCAAAACTCGCCCACCTTCCACTGACTCATAACTAGGGATCTACTTAATTTCCAGCTTCACAGAAACTGTGAAATCCAGGACTGTCCATAAAGTCAATTTTTAAAAAAATACTTAACAGAAATAAGCAGTAGCCAGTAGTTCCCATTGCTGGGAGAGGGAGGCACTGGCTGGCAGGGGAGCACAAAAGGACAGCAGACAAGATGGCAGTTGCCCCCTTGTCCCTCCTCCCCCTGCCAGGGCCTCTCCACCAATCAGCACCGAAGGGTGGGGCCACACAAAGGGCAGTCAGCAATCAATATCGCAGCCCCCCCCACCTTGGTCCTCTCCACCAATCAATGGTGAGGGGTAAGGCTGCCATGAAACAACTGTGGAATTAGAACTTTACACCACGATCAACCTGCAAAAGTCAGTAAGCAGTGATTTAAGTAGACCCTTATTCATAATCTCACAATATTGCTTTTGCATAAGAGATGACCATGCAGCAAGTAGAAGGAATCCACGACATTTGAAGAATGACATTTACATCATAAGCAAACTCCCCACCTAACTATGTGGGACTCTGTTCCCTGACAAATGCAGAGAAAAGGCAAGACAAATAGTTAAACAAGAATTACTAAATTTGAAGTATAAAGCTAAATAAGAAAAATATTTTAAGTTTTGGCATGAGAATGAAATGAAGAATAGAAAAAGTTTGCTAAGCTGTTGGCTGCAATTCTTTACAAGTGGAATAACTAAATAATTGAAGATGTTTGCTTTTTGATATTATTTATGACCAACTTAACAAGTTTTTACAAAATTAAAAGACTAAATTATAGGCAATCATTCTTAAGAATAAAAACATACCATCTGCGACTAACAGCTGACGTGATAATTAGCAATCATTTTAGCAAGACAAGAATCTGAAAGATGTTTTTTGTCTAAACTAATTTTATAGTGCAAATAAGTTAGAAAACATTATACAATGGTCTGTACATAACCAAACACACCCAACCACACACATACATCCAAACACACCTACCCACCCACACCAATTTTGAGAATCCTTTAAAAAGAGGCTGGAATAAGCTACTATCTCTTTCCTCCAAACATTTAAGTCTACTTTCAGCTACAGCATAATGTGCATATCAGTTAAAACTAACACTTCTGAAGTAATGGAAGCCTGCAGCAAACAGAAGCAATGCAAAAACATAATATATTATGAAAGCCCATGATTCAAACATTCTACAGATTTGAGAATGGCAGCTTTACACTAGCAGTTCAATTTATAAGTACTCCTGTGTTGTCTATTACTTTTTTTTTGTTCCCAGAGGTGCAGCATATGTAGGCACATAGTAGTCTAATATGCAGACAGGTGCACAGTAGCCTGTCATAAGCAAGATCACTTCAATGCCATGAGTTAATCCCTCAGCTGCATCTTTGCTATTTGACTTGTGCTAAAGATTTAACCAAGAAAAACATTTAGAGCGAAAACAATTGTTCTTCAGTTGGTCAAGCAACTGAGTTTTACCTGAAACTGGGAATTTGTCATAAACTGAAACTGGACTCAATCCCTAGCTGCCTCTCCTGGTCAAAATAAGCAGGTGCAATGATGGACTTCAGTAAAAGCTAAGTGTGTTCTAGCCCTTCTCACCTGGAAGTAGTCATTATGGTACATCCCCGTTCTCCATTCCCCATCCCCATTCATGTGCCCCTGAATTGAAGCCACCCCAGCCCTTCTTGCTCTGTGCGAGTGCTGCTCTTCCTCTCATGTGCTCCTAACTCAGTTCCACCCCTTAGCCTCACTGCCCATTCCCGTCACAATTGCTGCAAGTGGAAAAGTCCATGGTGAGGGAAGAAGCAGCTGCAGCAAGGGGGCAAGGAAGAGCAAGGAGGGCTGGAGAAGCACCAGGTGACTTTCCAGTATTTACCCTTGCTGCTGATTTCTGTCATATAGTGTTGTCTCCTTTGGAAATGTCAAATCTGTGCTCTTCCTGCAGTTTCCTTTTCCTAATGAATAGTTTGGGAGGTCCTAACGTACTAGAACCCTGGTCAGACTGATTTGTGGTACAGGATGCAATTGAAACAAACACAACACTGAATGATAATTGTTGATTAATTTACAAGGAAAATTTCACTGGAAACACTCAATAAAAGCATCTAAATTACTTCAAGATAAAATGATGCACCTCCTATTAAGCTCAAACTATAACATTTTATTATAAACTGTTATAATTATTATAACATTTGATTATAAACTTCCTTTTTCCATAAAGATTTTTGACAATCTCTTCTTTCTTATTCTTTTAATCCAATTTAAATGTCTAGATTATGCTTAATTCAGATGACTAAGGGATTGATATTCTGCATAGTTCCATCTTAGAACCGATCAGAGGAACACAATCTAAGATAGGGCTGAAAAGATTTAAAGGAAAATTCGCTGCTAAACACAGACACTAAGCTATGAAAGCATCAGGATGCTTAAAAAAATGTAGTCTTACCTAAAGCAGTACATTCAGATCAGCTAGTTTTTCCTTTATTCAAACAAAAGTTCACAAACAGAATTCTTAAAAGGTAATTATGCATTTTCTTTCACAAATTGTTTAGGCTGCAGCCTTTCTTGAGATTAAAAATAAAACAAATTAAAGATGATCATAATTTAGAATACAGTTTGTATATTTTTATAAAAAGGCGGGCATTCACTTTCTCTTGATGATGGTGGTACTCTCAGAATATACCATATATGGCTGAATCTAAAAACTGAAAAGCAACTAAAAGTGTTATGTTGAATCACAAGAATTCAGCTTACTCGTGAAACTGATAGCTGTCAGGTTTCGAATTAGTATTTCATTTTAAGAACATTTTCTTAGAGTCAATGTTTCTAGCCAAATTCTGGTAAAGGAAGTTCAATATGCATCAGTGCACCCCAGTACTCTTCACTTTTTCACATGCTTTTGTCCAATAAATCAGCTAACCAGCTGCCATCAATTTCAGCTAGATAAAATTATAAAATGCATATAATGTATTGAGAAATTGAATGAAAGTTGCTCATGTCTTTTTAGACAGTTATCAATTTTCTAACTATATATTAAAATAAACTGCAGAATTGGCACACTATATACTTTTGCTACTACTTATTATCAAGACACCATGCTTTGGAAAAAAACTGAATTTTTGTACAAGTTACCTTAACAAAAAAGATAATAAATACTGCTTTTTAAGAATGATTAAATGTGCGTGCATTTTACATACTTGGCCATAAAAATAGTTGCCCAAGAATAAAGCATAGTATAGCCCACCCCTCACAAAAAAAAAACACTTATCAGAAACAGCAGTGAATCATTCTCTTTCAAGTAAATGATAAAAGGGTAAAGATGTAACTTCAATAACTGCTCACTATTGTGGTAGCTCTTGTTTTCACAATTCCAGATGGAAATAAGTCCTCCTTTACAAACTGATATATTATACTACACATATATATAGCTACCATATTAATTGTATTGGATCATGTCTTACCTGTAACAAGTACTTCCATATGGGCATTCAGGTCTGTCATCACTGTCATCTTCACTTGCAACCTGTACATCATGATAATCACTGTCTCCAGGGTGACTGAACTGCTGAAAGTGAACTGGATTCTTCCTACAAAATTTAGGAATATACTGTAAGTAACAGTAAATGACATGGCATATACCATGTTGTGTGTGTATATGGAGAACAAGCAGCTTAAAATCAAATAAACATAATTTATTCAATAATGCATGTTTATTCATTTTTTGTGGTTATCTATGTACTATTATGTTGCATAAAATGTCAGTTATGAGTCATTTTTGGAGATAATTCAATAACAAAAAATTTTAGCCTTCTGTTCTTGCATAAGAAACTCCATTTTTAAGCTGGATAAAAATCAATGATTTTTTATTTTAAAAAATCTAATTTTTTATTTTAATGTTTTTTAATTTAATCATATTTTTAATTTTTTTAGGATTTGTTTTTTAAAAATACACCTATATAAAGATAGTTTTAATTTAAGATATGTTAAAGTTCAAAGATATCATCATGGAATAGGGATTATAACTTCTAATCATATACTACTTGAGACAATATATTCATCTAACCTTTTTAGGAAAGTTTTATAACTAGGTCACAACAGGCTGTGGACTATATTGGGGCCCAATTTTATGGGGCTCCCAGATGGTCCTCTATAGATTAGTAAAGATTAAAGAAAACCACTCTACCCAATGGGACTCAGTGCTCAGTCTAGAAGATCCTATTAAACATCTATGTGATGCTTAGTTTCAGTTCTCAAACTGTGGATTTGTGTCTCCAGAGATAACTTCCTTATTAACAGCAGTATACAGAGATAAAAAATAATAGACCTGATTACTTACCCATCAGCCCTTTTATCTCTGCAAGTTTGTGTACAGAGTCAAGCCCTCACCTCTCTCTAAAAAGTGCAAAGTTTCAAAAAGTTAAAAGAATAGAGGACTGTTGAGGGTGGAGTAGATCAGGGCAAGGAGGAGGAGTCTGAAGATAAGTGAAAGGTGGGAGGAGCAGTAGAAACAAAAGAGAAACATTTTGAGTAGACTATTCCAGAAATCTTGAAAGATAAGTTTCTGAGTATAGCCACTCCATTGATCTGAGATGTAGTGAGGGAATGGTATGGTAGAAGGGAAAACCAATCATGGCAGCAGGCTTGCCAGGCCATAAAAGAAAGAAGAAATCAATGATAAGAAGAAATCTAGAAGAAAGTGAAAAAAGCCTCAAGCTAATAACATATGCCTGCAGCACTCATTTGATGTCTTCCTAATACATTGTGGCAAAAATATCCCTTAACTATCCATGATTAATTTAATGAATTGGAGATAGTTCACCTCCCAATGACTTTACAAGTATTTGCTTCAATTAGCTTTGGTAAATAAAATAACCAAATCATAATTCTGTTTTCTGATGTAGCTGCAAAATTAATCTGAAAAAATATCAAAATAAGAAGTCACTACTTTAAAATGTATAGTGTGTACCTTCTAAAAATGAGAACAACATCAATCTCCGAGTTGTGAATAATATGTATTATGGTTATATCAAACAAGAATGCACTTTTGTAGCAAGACCAGTGATTTAAACTGACTTTATTTAAATCAAATCCACCCCATCCATTATGCTTTCATCCAACTTTAAGCAGATTTCTCCACTGACTTCAAATGGTTATAGTACAGACACTGACTAATATATAAACATTCACCTGCCTTTTTCAGTACTTCTGTACAAAATAGAACAGTTCTATAGAAGAAACTAATACAGACAAGCTTGCCATATTAAAGTCACAACTCTCCAATTAAAAAGCAAAATGTCCCAAATTAGATAGAGCTGAGCCATTTACTTTCCTGACATCCATAGAATTTCCTGGAAAATTAAAGCCATTGTATGGTGAAGAATCTCTATCAGAGATCCCCTTACAATATTCACTGCATATGTTAATGAAGTATTACATACAGTATCATATTAAGTCTTACCCAAACTCAATGAAAGAGATTTCACCAAGTTCGTGTACAAAACTTCAGACTGCATCTTCTTCTGTCTCCTCAGACAGATCATCAAAACAGACAACCTGCTCCAAAAAGAAGAGAGCCTGAACTTCAAACTTCAGCGCTGTAATTCTTGGTTTATAATATGAAAGTGATTACATCCACAAACTGTAGTCTCATTCCAAACACTAAATACAGAGAAAGGATAACTACATGCACAGAAAGAGAGAGACCCTGAACAAGCACCTTAACGAGACTTACGATTCATACACATCTAAGACAGAGGTTCTCAACCCCATTAGACCAACCCCAGATGCCCCTCATTAAATGCCAGCTTTCACTTGTTTCTTGACTACAGAAAAATAATAGATTAATTATTTTGGGTGTAAACCATCAGGGCCGGCTGACAACCCAAAGGGGAGGGGAGTTCAGGATGAGTGGTTGCTCCTCAAGGGAGCAGTCCTGGATGCGCAAGCAAAGTCTATCCAGGCTCAGAGGAAAGCAGCAAAAAGGCAGAGCAGCCACCTTGGTGCTCCAGAGAACTAGCGGACCTCCCGCATCTTAAGAGGAAGAGCTACAAAGGATGGAGGACTGGAACTACCACCAAGGAGGAATACCCGGCTCTGGTCCGGACCTGCAGTGAGCAAACCAGGAAAGCCAAGGCTGAGACAGAACTCCTGCTAGCTACAAATATCAAGGACAATAAAAAATCCTTTTTTAGACATGTGGGGAGCCAGAGGAAAAGCAAGGGCAACACTGGACCCCTGTTAAACCAGATGGGACATCTGACAACTGACGTCCATGAACAAGCAAACTTGCTAAATGGGTACTTTGCGTCAGTTTTTCACCAATCCCATTGGACGCCCTGTCCACTGTGGGTCAGGGAGGCCCAGGTGAGGGAAATTCCTTACCTTCCATCAAACCTGACCTTGTGAAGGAACCCTTGACAGGCTAGATACCTTCAAGTGGTTGACAGAAGCCAATCGTCTTGGTGTGAAGTCACCAGTGCAGTCCCTCTAGGCTCTGTCCTAGGGCTTATACTTTTTAACATCTTCATCAATGATGTAGACACTGGTGTCGGAAGCGGGCTGGCCAAGTTCGCTAACACCACCAAACTCTGGGGTAAAGCATCCACACCTGAGGACAAAAGGGTGATCCAGGCAGATCTTGACAGGCTCAGGAAATGGGCAGATGAGAACCCGATGGTGTTTAACATCGAAAAATGAAAGGTTCTCCACCTTGGGAGGAAAAGCCTGCAGCATGCTTATAGGCTTGGCAGTGCTATACTGGTAAGCACTACAGATGAAAAGGACTTGGGGGTCATGATTGACCACAAGATGAACATGAGCCTTCAATGTTATGCTGTAGCTAGTAGAGCAAGCAAAACGCTGGCTTGCATCCATAGATGCTTCTCAAGCAAATCCAGGGACGTCATTCTCCCATTGTACTCAGCCTTGGTGAGGCCACAGCTGAAGTACTGCGTCCAGTTTTGGGCCCCACAATTCAAAAAGAATGTGGATAAGCTTGAGAGGGTGCAGAGGAGAGCCATGCACATGATCAGAGGTCAGGAAAACAGACCTGATGACAAGAGGCTGAGAGCCATGGGACTCTTCAGCCTAGAGAAGTACAGGCTCGGGGGCGATCTGGTGGCCACCTATAAGTTTATCCAGGGGTTTACCAGGATCGAGGAAACATCTGTTCACCAGAGCACCCCAAGGGATGACAAAAGCGAATGGTCACAAACTCTACCACGACCAATTTAGGCTGGACATAAGGAAGAACTTTACTACCCAAGCCCCCAAGGTTTGGAATAGACTGCCGCCGGAGGCGGTTCAAGCACCCACTTTGAATGCCTTCAAGACACATTTGGATGTTTATCTTGCTGGGATCCTATGATCCCTGCTGAATTCCGGCCCATGGGGCAGGGGGCAGGACTCAACGATCCTTCGGGGTCCCTTCCAGCCCAAATGTCTATGAAATCTATGAATTCTTGTGTTACAAAGAATTCAGAAAGACCACAATGGGTCAGAATATTTTTGACACTATCGAGTCCTATTTGAAATCTCTGGCCTTCCCTTGTGAATTACACACAGGTGTTTGCACAACTAATAGTGCGACATACCTGTGGCACCCTCAATTGGATCTTGTGGCACTCCATGGCACCAAAGCACCCTGGCTGAGAATCAAGGATCTAAGACAACTCAGTACATATATGAGCATTAAAGCCCCTATCAGCCTTAATCTCTCCAGTGCTGTGATAGTGAGAAGCCTGATTGTTTCAGCTACTATTTCTGCAAACTGATCTGCACAAAGATATTGAGCTGACCTTATTTCCATTTTGAGACTGAAAATCAAATGTACATTTTCACCAGGTAAACTCCTGTATTTGAAACCCAAAGCCAGAACTACTACCATCATGTTATACCTACATAACATCTTCCCTAGAGGGATCTCAAAACACATGAATACGCCATTTCATGAATGCAGTTAGCTGATAGCAAGTAGAGCTGTCAAAAATCAGAGGAAGTTACTGGATTCTATCTAGGCGACAGACTTGGTGTCCCACTTTATCTGGGGTTATCACTACTACTTTCTTTTCTCCCACCGTTAAAATATACATGGCCCTAGTCTTAGGTGGTCCACATTCAGCTGTGTGCTCTTTTCAAACTTCAAGTTACAGAGCATGGAGAAGCCAATGTTCTCATTCCTGGCTGAAAAAAAAAAGATTGAAATAAAGTAAAAGGCCACCATATCTATTACTGTAGATACTTATGGCACACTATCAAAACAGCTGATTTCTATAAAAACTTCTGAACAGTAAGGAACTCTGGTAATCATGACTAGAATAAATGTATTTTTCTTGTAATAATAAGCTCAATATATCATATTTTCTCACATACAACATGCCTCCCAAATATGCACTTTGTTTCTGAAAGGCAGAATAAAAAGAAAAGATCTTTCCTTGAGAGCCTCTGCCCAGAGGAAAGAGAGTGTCCACAGCCAGCATTTAGGGAGACCTGCATGTAGCACACGCAGTTTCTTTCACTGCTACTGCACTTCCTTGATTACAACGCTCAACAAAATTACCAGCTGATGAATTTTGAGGAAAAAGGAGCA